ATGGAACCTATCATACCTACGGCTCCTATGCGTTTGGTAACCACTACGGACTGACCCGTCGTACTGTGGACAACCCTGAGTTCGTTAGGATGATAAATCAGTTTCTGGCCCAGCGAGTCCCAAAAGACTACCAATGGTCGGCCTTCACCCTGAACGCCAACTCGACTGCTCCACTCCACAAGGACATCAACAACGATGAAACATATCCTAACTGTAGCGTGGGAATAGGGGATTATTCTGGAGGGGAGTTGTGGCTTGAAGGGTCTCGGGATTCGGATACGGGGACTCTTGAGATTAGGGATATTGAGGCGAAAGAGTTTCAGGGATCAAGGTTGACATTCACCACAAGCCTTACCTCTTTCAGCCTAAACTGTGGCATGGCACGTGTGCCTGGAAGGGTCAGAGATGGGTTCTTACGGCGTATGTGACTCGGGGTTTAGACAAGTGTTCGAGTTCGGAGCTTCGGAAGTTGCGTGAGTGGGGTTTTCGGGTACCTACGAAGCAAAGCCCACAGGCCCTTGCGGTGAATCCTGTTAGTGATGGAACCACACAAGATTCCAGGACCCCAAGGCTCCAAGATGAACGGATTCGAAAGCAATTGTATCTTCTTCACTGCGCATCTGGTCACGGTAGCATCAAACATCTTGTCGAAGCCCTGCAAAGAAGGCGAGCTCCACCCCGAGTGATCGAACTTGCCAAGGAATTCTAAAACGCTTTACGGGTACGTTCCGGACCCTTTCACTTCACACAGATATTCGCACTTCACTTTTCCTCGGGCGCACGGCTGTCTTGGGTGCGTCCCTTGAGCCTAAACACCACAGTGGAACATTTGTTCCATACTATACAAAATCATGTGGCAAACAGCTCATCTACAGGATTATAGGGCAACACACTCCTAAGCGAAATGTTTGTTACCCCCTCTTCGTGCATCCTCTTTTGCCTTTTCTTTCCTAGAGGTGCAACGAACCCAAAACAGTCGCACTTTCCTCCTTTTGAAACACTCGTTGTGCACTCGCTTTTTGTCGTGGTGTGAGACGAGTGAAACAGAGCTACTCCTACTGGCCGCTCTCAAACTCGTTCACCTCTTTGGCCTTTCAGCCTCAAAAGAACTCGTGGTGGCCCAAAGCCACAAACTCTTCAAACTCTTTAAACTCTCCTCGTGAAGAAACTCTTCGGCTTCTCGTGGTGCAGTTGTCGTACAACTTTCAGAAAACTCTTTCCTCGTTTGGGAACGAAGTTCCCCCTCTGGGCTTTTCAGCCTTCAGATTCCCTTTTTCTTTATAGACCTCCGGTTTGGTCTTTCTTTCTTCTCTTCTCTCCTTTTCTCCTTTAGCTGTTCTTTTGCTGGGCTTTCTTTCCTTTGCCCTTCTCCGCATTGTCTGTGCGGTACTTTTTCTTGTTTGTCTCCAACCTGTTCGCGTATGCTCTTCGAATTATCAATTCGTTCTTCTTGTACCAGGATTGGAACTGTTCCTTACTCATTTCTTCCCTTTGCATCTTTGGGGCATACTGCCCTGAGGCAGTATAATTGTAATCGGCATCCCAACACGTTTCGGAACCATGTCCGAAACGCGAACATACCGCGCAAACCATTGCCTGGCTTTGCGCATCAGGATCTTCGTTGATCCGGCTTTCCTCTTTAAGCACCTGGAGCTCATCTTCGAGGACCTTGTTATTCTTTCCAAGCTCCTTGATAGTCTCGCGCATTTTCTTGCGCTCCTCTTTCATCTTCTCTGCATCCTCATTCGGTGGGCCTTGCGTCGACCCAGCACTGCTTTTGCGCTTTTTCAGCTTTCTCACTTCTTCATTCAATTCTCCAATCTCTTTGTCCTTTGCCTCTTTTAGCTCCTTGATCTCTTTATCCTTTTTGTCAATCTCCTCTTTGATCTCCTTTTCTTTCGTTTCTTGGAGCTCTTTAATCTCTTTGATCCTCTTGCTCTCCATCTCTTTCAGCTTTTGCTCAGCTTCGCCCTGAAGCAGTCCACCCGCTGGAACCTGCAGTTCCTTCCTTTTTGCCTTCAACTCCTCCAGTGCAGTATGGAGTTTCGGCCTCAATTGGTCCATCTCTTTTTGCAGGGCGGACTCTGCGTCCATTATCAATGTAGCCTCATTTTCCTGTTCCTCCTCTTCGGCTCTCAGCTTGTCCAGTTGTTTCTCTATGGACTCTTTGGCAACGAACGCTTCGTCCGCTACCCGCTTCAGCTCTTCCTTTACCTCTATCTCTTTTGCAATCAACCTGTCTCGTTCTTCCTCCTTGATCTTCTTCTGCTTTTGCTTGTAAGTATACAAGTCACTATAAATCGTGAATTTCTTTCTCTTTTCGTCCACTTTCTCCTGCAGAACTCGCATCTGCCCAAGCAGGTCCTGCACTTTCTTCTCCTCTTCCAGAACTGACTTCTTTGCCATCTTGTCCATGATTTCTTTGTATTCATCATCACTGGACTCAGACTCTTTCTTTCTCTTTTCACCTCTCTTTTTCTCTTCCTCTTTTTCGGAGCTCTGCTCTTCCTCTTCTTTCTCCGAACTCACTTTCTCCTCGCTTTCGGAGGCTTCTTGCTCCTCCTCTTCTTTCTCTTTCTTTTTCTCTTCTTCTTCTTTTGTTTCCTTCGCCTTCTCTGCGGCTTCGTTTGCCCTTTCCTTCTGGCCCCTTCGCCTCTCGGAAGCATCCAAGGCTTTCTGCCTCAGTTCGCTCACTCTATCTTCCATAACCTGTGCCTGGCTTCCTTCGGCACTTCCTTTGCTTCCCTGTGCCTCTCCAGCCAATTCCTCGGCTGTTTTCTTGAACTCTTCAGGCACTTTAACCTCCGTCTTTGCAGCTTCTGACGGGGCCGCCTCTTTAGGCTCATACTTTTGGTTGAGGCGTTGCACTTCGGGCCATAGGGCATCCAGGGTTAATCTCCTCTCTCGCTCCTTTTTGAGCTCTCTTTCGCAGAGGGTTACGGACTCTATGCTGCGGCATTCGTCACTGATCATTGTCTTGAGGGCCGCGTCGTCGGCCATCTTTTTCACTTCTTCTTTTTCTTCTACTTCTTTTCTCCTCACTTCTTTTCTTTTCACTTCCTCTCTTTTCACTTTCTTCCTTGAGTCAAAAACGGCAGCGGCGGAACAAAGCATGCATTCAACACTTCCAACCAGACTCTTCCACAAGCTACCGTTGCAAGCCATGATAACAACCAGTGTCATCATCATCACCATCATCACCAAACCAAGGTTTCCACCTTCACTGCTTCTACTGCTTTGCTCTCTTAGTCCATCACACTGCTGAACCATCATCATCATCACAAGTCTTCTCAGATACTTCGTAGGGATCTTGAAGTCACTTGCTATCCTGACCTCTTCACTTTCTTCTCCAGTTTTCACACCGATTCTCTCCAAACACTTCACAACAGCGTTCCTCGACAAAGCCTTTGTTCCTACATCTGCAGGGTTCTCCTTTCCAGCTATCGCTTTCACTTGAAGACCTACAGAAGTAAGCCTTTGAACCCAAAGCAGTCCTGCATCAATGTGCCTCGTTCTTCCTAGGCCTTTCTTCATGAGAATAGACCTAGCACTGCTAGAATCCATCCTAATCACCATCTCCGGCCTAATCCCTAGAACTCTGTGCAGCAGGTTCTGTAGAAAAACTCCTTCACTCAAACCTCCAACAGCTGCCACCAGTTCGCTTTCGCAGCTGCTCAAAGCCGTCGCTTTTTGCTTTCTCGCGTGAAAGTAAACGATGTTACTGTTCACGAAAATCAACACGCAGCTCGTTGACTGCCTATTCTCACGATCGGTCGCCCAGTCGGCGTCGGTCACTACCTCGATCAAACTCTTTGCCGTAAAAACATCTTTGTAGGCATTCTCAGTTCTCTTATCACTTGGATCTAGAAAACTCTTTCCAGGATATGCCTCTTTGTGTTCTGTCACGTAGTGGGCTGTCGCTTTTACATACTTTGCCACGTGCCTAAGCACTGCTAAGTCTCCTCGCGTTGGCGCTGCCAACTTCCCAGACAACCACTTCGTAGCGAATCCCAAATCAGGTCTCTCAGGTGTCATATACAGTAGGATTCCTACACAGGATCTATACAGATGATGTTCATCTGCATCCAAGGGCGTGTCGTCCTTCAACGATCTTCCGTAATCCATTGGAAACGGCAACTTCTTCGGCATGGCTTTTCCCAAACCTAAAATCTCTTCCAACTTCTCAAGATACTTGCCGTCCATCCTGATCTCTATTCCTTCTTTCGTTCCTAAGAACGTCCTCTTCAAGAAAGTACACTTTCCTTCTCCAACCTTCACTGGTCCTTCCAGCTTTATCTTCAACTTGTGCTTCAGCAGCAGATCAACCACCGCTTGGTTCTCCTTTGGTTTTCCAAACACTTCCAAATCATCCACATGTGTACTCATCAGCGTTCCACCTTCTCCTGGGTTCTCTGAAAACTTGTAGAAGAAACTTGGTAACCCCACATCGGAAACCATCTTCTCTTTCTCCAGGATTTCTCGTAAGTGCTCAAACCAATCACTGCTTCCTGTTCGTTGTCCCGGCAGGGTGTACTGCAGCTGGTACCACTTTCCTCCTAAACTCACAACCGTGTACTCCTTCTGTGGCACCTGAAGGTACGCGTCCGAAATGTCTATCGAGATCATCTCGTAGTCTCTTGAACTCGCACACAAAGCTGATAACAGCTTGATGCTCGAACCAATACTCGTTGGTGAGTATAGCGCTGAGAGATCGTAGTCCGTCAGCCACTTGTACTCCCGCGCCACTAGGCGGGCTCTCCTCTTCCATTGGAGGTCCCTATGCCTCCAATCCAACACGTACTTTGTACTGAGTCTCTTTGGTTCTTCTCCATTCGGTCCTTTCTTCAACTCTCCATTCTCATCCAGTTCCACTTCTTTGAGAACTTTCATCTCCAATAGTCTCTCGATTTCTGTTCTCTCTGCTTTCAGGTCCACCTTTTCCAAATCTTCATCTTCCAACTTTGGTGGCCCATCATCATACTCGTGAGACCAAGTAACCGTTAGGTCCTCTTCTGTCTCACACACCTTCTCGTTCCACTTGCTCTGGAACTCTCGACTTTCTTCCAGAAACAACTGTGTCTCGTCGAGATCAACATACTCATCTCCATGCTCTTCGGGATCTTCGCTCTTGGCGAATCTCCGAATATGGTATTCCACTCGTGCCGCGCTTCCTCGTGCTTCGTCTCCAAGTCTCGGCACCTTTTCAACTCTTTCTTCTACCTCTCCAGTTCCTTCGTCTACTCTTGGTTCTTTCTTTGGTGACCCTTCTCCTTCTTCTTCTGCATTCCTCTTTGCAACTTCTCTTTGAAACTCTTCCAACGTCATTTCATCGGGCACCAATTCATCTTCTGCTTTTCTCTTTGTTCTCACCTCTCCTGGATCATCGTCATCGTCATCGCTCTCGTCGTCCATTGCTTCTGGCGTTGCTCCAGATAGCGACGAACTCTTGCTAGAAGAACTTGAGCTTCCTTGGCGGTCGCTCGGCGGCGAAGGCTCGCTTCTCTTTTCTTCTTCTACTCTTTTGTCAGCTTCCACCGCCAATCTTGGCAGTCCTGGCCCATCATCAATAGGCACAATTCTCTTCTTCTTAAACCTCAAAGCCTTCAGCTGATGATCCCATGGAGCTCCAACCGAAAGTTGCAAAAGCTCCGGCTGATATGCCTCAGCACATCTTCTCATTGTCCTCGCTTTGATCACTCCTCTACCTGTGCCAATCAAGTTCAGATTGCTCGCGTAGTCCTTTCCAAGAAAGACTCCTTTCTCCCAAGGTTCTCCTTTCTCCTTGGTCTTTGGCACTGCTTTTCCAAACACTGCTGACCCGAACGGGGCCAGCTTCCCTTTGTACGTTCGGTCCACTGTCGCTTCAAACGCAGTTCTGCCATCTCTTCCAACATGAAACCTGTTGTGCAGCCATGCTGCATGTCTGTACGCCCAGCTATAAAGCGGGACATCAGATCCGATGGCCGTTCCACTTCGTTGCTCAACCGTCGCCAACAACGTCTTTGCAAGGTTCCTCACAGTTTGGATATACCTTTCCACAGGCAACCCTTGATGCTCATCAGGCGTGGCATCTTGCAACTCCGTCTTCAAACCTTGTCTTGTTCTTGCCACTTGAACTCCTCTCCTGATGGCAATCATCACTGGCTCGGTATCCGTTCTAATCACCACTTCAGCGTAACCCAAAAGGGCTAACACTCTTACCACTTCACTCACTGCGTGGTTTATCACCGCATCTCCTCCTTTCGTTGGCACCGAAATGCTATCAGGAACTTCGTGTCGTTGTCAACACCCGCAAGCTGAATAGCAAGCGGATCTCTCTCCTTTTCATCTCCTTGTGTTCCTGTGAACATAAAGTCCAAGCTAAACACGGGCCGTTGCGCTTTCTCTTTCGTCTCTTCAAAGTTGTCTTCTCTGCTCTTTGCTGCCTGGCATGCTTCACACCAGGGCGCTCTCGGCAAATGCGTCAACTCATGCGCTTCAATCTCTTCCGGGCTCGGCAAAGCAGGCAGAGCCTCTGGAATTGGTTCTCTCTCAAACTCCTTTCTGATATCCTCAGAGATTTGGGCTTGCGCTTTCACTTTGCTCAGCGCAACCTCTTTCTTCAATCTTTTCCACAAGATCTCTTTCGATCCATTCTTCGAGATATGCAGATACTTGCACGCCGCTTTCATCTCCTTCAACTCACTCTGGCGTGTCAACTTCATTGGTCCAATCACCATCACTTCTTCCTCATCTTCACCAATCACTGGAACTCCTCTCTTCGGTTCCTCTTTCTCACTTTCCTTTTTGTCTCTCGAACTTGAGGAGGTTCCTGTGACCTCCATTGGCACTCCTTCTTGTGCCAGTTCTCTTTCAAGCTCTTCCAAGTTCGTGAGCAACCCATAGTCACTCGGTTCCTTCAATCCCTTCTCCAACAAGGTGACCATCACCTCAAACCTTGCTTGAGGACTCGCCCCAAGTTGCACTCTTTCGCGATCCTTCCAGATCTCCGTACACTCAAAGAAATCCATACTCTTCCAATCCACTTCATTCAACACTCTTTCTCCACTTCTTTTCATCTTTCCTAGCAAGGTTGTCCTATAAGGAAAATAATCGCCTTCATCTCCTGCTCCCTCATAGAGTCTATTAGGGAACTGACCCGTTGGGTCAAACGTCTTCCCCATAAACCAATCAAACCTTGCAGGCGTGCCGTCATTTAGCACAAACCAACCATCTTCATCTTCTTTGCTCTTCAACTCATTCTTCAGTTCTCGCTCCAGCCTCACAGGCTGTACCGTCATCTCTTCTCCTTCAAGTCTCCGTATACACATCCTCGCCATTGAGGAATTCCTTTTGAAGTATATCGGTATCCGAACACTTCCTTTCTTCAACCACAATCTTCCATCTTCATTCACCGTACCCCAACCTAGCTTCCACATCTTTCCTACCGCAAACAAAGGTTGGGTGACATTGCCGCAAACAGCACTGTCAGTGATCTTCAACTTCTTTCCAGACTCCTTCGTGAAAACAAACGTCACATTCTGCCTCACAGGCAACGTTGGGATCACTTTCCCTTGCGCATCTTTCAGATGGTACTCAAAGTTCGAAGTTTCTCCGACTTCTTCTGCCCAATCCATAGGCAACACATGGCAGTCAGCTCCACTGTCAAGCACTACCTCACATGCATCCACTTCTCTTGCTGTTCTCCTAACTTCATCTCCTTCAGAAACCATTCTCACACTTCTTTCAACTTCTGTTTCCAAGAACCACCATCCTTGGTACCACTCCATCAAACCATCGGTCGGTTCTTCCTCGATCTCTTCCACTTCATCGCTCGAAGAGATATCAAACTCCTCAACTCTTCTCAGCTCTCCTTGAACCAAACCTTCAAACTCTTGACACAATCTCACAAAGTTGAGCTCTTCATCCTCATCGTTCCACTCTTGTGTCATCTCTACTCTTCTTGCTTGGCGCGCTGCTTCAGCTGTGATCTGCCTCACTTGACCAGTCTCATTCTTCGTAGGAGGGGCATTGCTAGAGGAACTCTTCTCGTGATCTCCTTGATGGGTTCCTTCCTCTTCTACCTGTCTCACTTTGCCTTTACCTCCTTTTCCTTTTCCTTGATTCTGCCAGCAATCAGCTGCTTTGTGTCCTGTCTTTCCGCATATGTGGCACTCTCCTATGAACTTTCCTTTCCCGTAGCCACCAGCGTCCACTGCTCGTGCATTTCTATAACCACCTTTTCCTTTTCCTTTGTTGTCGTATCCTTTTCCTTTTCCTTTTCCTTTGTTGTCGTATCCTTTTCCTTTTCCTTTTCCTTTGTTGTTGTACCCTTTTCCTCCTTTTCCTTTGTTGTCGTGACCTTTTCCTTTTCCTTTGTCTTTTCCTTTTCCTTTCACTCGATCAATATCCATTGGTTGTGGCCCAGAATAGGGCGTACTCTTCGTTGCGCTTTCCATGTTGAAAGACTGCAAAATGTTCTCCGCATTCCACGATTGGGTACTTCTTTCATACTCAAGCAACTTCTTCCTGATGTCTGCGTACTTCGTCGTAGGGGTCAATCCTATCAGGATATGCTTCCTCAACTCATTTGGCAAACCTTTGAGTACTGTTCCGATTTTCAAATTCTCATCGTAGGGTTTTCCTTCGGACAGTTTTTCGTATTCTGCCACCAGTTTTTCGTAGGTAAGCAGATAGTCTAAGATAGAAGTCCCCTTCGTCATCTGGGGAAAGCTCACTAGAGCTTGAGCCATTGCCAGCCCTCTTGTTCGGCTTGACGGCTCCAACTCTTCAAACAGTCTCCTCCAGACAGAATATCCATCTGGACTTCCTTCTGACTTCAATAACTTCAATGGCCTGTTCCTAAGATACGAGGCCAAAATCGCATACAGCTTTGTACTTCGCTCTCTTTCACCAACTGTATAATCTGCTGGATTTGGTGGTGCCAGCTCCACTTTCTTCAACTCTTCTGCATAAGTGGGATCAATGAATCCCACAAACACTTTGAAACTGAAACTCCAATCTGGCCACTGTGAAACTTCCTCCTCCAAATTCTTTGGAGCGAACACATCCGGACTCTTCACCAGCTTAGCTGCAGAGTCGTAACTTCTGGTACTTCCTGTACCTGCAGCACTTGCCAAAGCTTGCGCTGCTGCCGACAGGTTCCCTATCAGGGCCTGAAGGGATCCTCCTGCAACTCCGTCTGGTGCAGGCATCGCCATTGGCGTATCACTTGGTGTATCTCCTCCTTGACCACCGTGACCAGGGGACACAGGCAAATCCGCGTCTCCAGCTGGACTTGGCGTGGCCATTCAACTTTCCTTTCTTTCACTTTCCGTGACACTGGGGCCCAAGGCTCTTTTCTCCTTGTATTGGGCTCTTCTTCAGCCGAAGGTCCTGGCCTTCAGCTCCGCTACCATAAAACGCTTTACGGGTACGTTCCGGACCCTTTCACTTCACACAGATATTCGCACTTCACTTTTCCTCGGGCGCACGGCTGTCTTGGGTGCGTCCCTTGAGCCTAAACACCACAGTGGAACATTTGTTCCATACTATACAAAATCATGTGGCAAACAGCTCATCTACAGGATTATAGGGCAACACACTCCTAAGCGAAATGTTTGTTAAATTCTCATGCCCTGTTTGTGCTGAACGCAGTAAACCCCCTCCGAGAGCCCAAGCCACCTTGGAACCTCTTCCCCCGAAGTTTAGCACTATCAGTGCTGACGTGGGCCATTGGGAACACCCCTACAGTAAAGAAGCTGTCCAATTCATGCTTGTCATAGACGAAGGCTCGAGGTTCAGGGTTGCTAGAGTGCTCACTCGCGGATCGAAGCAGCAACCTACTGCGAATGCCTGCATCCAGTATCTTCAAGAGGGATGGGGACAGTACTTCGGTCACCCCAGAGCCCTTCGTGTGGATCCAGCGGGATCGTTCCGCTCACGAGCTTTCTTCGATTCCTACTGCGACAAACATGGAGTGTACTTAGATATTATTTCTGGCGAGGCCCATTGGAAGAATGGGTCGTGCGAGCAGGCCATTCAAGGGGTCAAGGAGCTGATGACACGGCTCTGCACCTACGACCCCGAGCTTTCCACCGAGAGCGCCTTAGCAGAGGCCACCACAGTCTTCAACCATCGAGATTTAGTCCGAGGCTTCTCCCCAGCCCAACATGTGTTGGGCCGAGGCGCCGACGAGACAGACCGTTTTCTCGAAGCGGGAAGTGGCCTGCCACCGGGCCTCCTAGTGGAGAACCCTGTTGGAGAGTTCCAGCGAGCTACTGAGCGAAGAGCAGAGGCCGAGAAAGCGCACGCCGAGTGGCATGCGCGCCAAAGGCTCAATCGAGCCCGAAATTCCCGGCATCGACCTTGCTACAACTACGTTCCTCCCCGGGCGGAGCTGTGTGGCTGGTCAGGGGTCGGTCCTTGATCAAATGCGCACCAGAGCAGCTGAGACGTGCTACTGAACGAGAGGAGCTCTTGGAAGGGCTATAGCTAGCCAACAAGGCCAAGCCACTCCCTGGACGTTTACACGAGTGGCCTCCTCCATCGGGGGCAACCAGTTCCAGGACCTCTCTGGCGATGTGCCAGACACAACAGAGTGGCGGCGCGCTCAGGACGTCACCGAAGAAGTACCACCCACGCGCTACAGGCAACGGCTCAAACGAGCCCCACCAGCGGAACCAGAGATGGATGAGGAGTGGGACCACCACATGCAGGGCGTAGAGGCCGCCTCTTCATCACGAGTCCAGAGACCACGCATGGAAGCGAGTTTCACGGAACAAGTGGAACCAGGCGAGTGCTGGTGGAGTACAATCCCCTCAGCAGCCTGGCCAAAGGAAGAGAGCAGCTTCTGGACCGACAAAGCAGCCGCCGTCGAGGTGGAAGTGGAGCTCCCATCGAGCCACCGAGGACTTATCAAGATGGCCAACAACTTCGAGGGCTTCTTTGTGGGTCAGCTACGCCGCCAAGCCGTGGAAGTGTCCGAGCGACGCCTAACACCTTCTGAACAGGAGGAGTTTAGAGCGGCAAAGGAGATTGAGGTCAAGAACTTCATATCAGCAGACGCCTTCGAAGCACTACCTGCTCATCTTCAGCCAAGTCGGGACCAGGCTGTGAATATGAGGTGGATACTTACATGGAAGCTGAAAGACAATGGAGATCGGAAGGCGAAGGCTAGAGCAGTACTGTTAGGGTATCAAGACCCGAGCTACGAACATCGCCGCACAGCCGCTCCTGTCATGACTAGACAGTCACGCCAAATGCATCTGCAGATGGCTGCGTGGAAGCGCTGGAAACTTCGAAAAGGCGACGTAAGCGGCGCCTTTCTTCAAGGACGAGAATACCCAGACACCTTATTCTGCATCCCCACCAAGGAAATCTGCCAAGCTATGAACATTCCTGAACAGAGCGTCACTAGACTCAAGCGTGCAGTGTACGGACTAGTGGACGCCCCGCTAGAGTGGTACAGAACAGTGAACACCTTCTTTGAGAGCATAGGCCTCGAACGTTTGGCCTCTGACTCTTGTGTGTGGTGCTACCGAAGTGGCGGCGAGCTAAAAGGAATGATCTCGGCTCATGTTGACGATTTCATTTTTGGAGGGCAGGAAAGTGACAGCGGATGGCAGTCTGTGTTGCAGCAGATTAGAGAACAGTTTCGCTGGGGTGACTGGGAAGAAGATAGTTTTACTCAATGTGGGGTTCTCGTCGAAACCACGAACCAGGGTATAGAGTTGTCCCAACCAAAATACCTTGAGAACTTGAGTGAGATTGGAGTGAGTGCCTCGCGACGGAAGGACCGCAGTGGAAAGACCGCTGAGAGGGAGCGCACGCAGCTGCGGGCGTTACTGGGAGGGCTGAGTTGGCACGCCCAACAAGTCTCCCCGCACCTTAGTGCAGATGTTAGTTTGCTCCTTTCCGAGGTCAGTGACAGCACCGTTGACACTATCATTCGCGCTAACATCTTGCTCTCCCATGCTAAGGCACGATCGGAGCACAAATTGCTGATCCATGCCTTCGATCCAGAGACTCCTCTGGGACTAGTGGCATGGGTGGACGCGGCTTCTCAGAGCCGCAAGAGTGGAGGCAGCACCCAGGGCATTGTCATAGGCATGGCACCACTGAGCCTACTCGACGGTGATGTTTGTGGAGTGTCCTTGATGTCATGGCATTCGTCTAAGATCGACCGAGTGTGCAGGAGCCCTGGTGCCTCAGAAGCTTTGGCAGCGATCAACGGCGAAGACAACTTGTACTACGCGCGGTACCAGTGGGCCGAACTACTTCATGGATGCCATGACCTACGCCGTCCCGACGAGCTGGTGAACAAGACATCAGGTTGCCTTGTCACAGACAGTCGGAACGTCTACGACAAGATGACCTCCGAGGTCGTCGTGGTGAAGGGTGCTGAGAAACGGACCAGCATAGAATTGCTGGGATTGAAAGAAGCGCAAAGGCGCACCAATGTGATCATCTGCTGGGTCCATTCAGAGGCCCAGCTTGCGAATAGTCTGACGAAAGAGAATGGGCTACGAGAACTGGAACTCTACTACAAGATGCGACAGCACTGGCGCATCGTGGAGGACGAGCGGATGCTTTCCGCACGTCGACGGCGAGAGCTTGGGCTACAACCGCTGTCACAGGCTACCTCTGAAGATGCTGATAAAGATTCTTGATTGTCTGTTGCCGATTTCAGAAGTTCCATGACTCAAAGTCCTGGGCGGGGGAGCCCGGGGCTTGCACGTTTCACATGAGTCTCGCTCGCAGGCCCTGGAGCAGCGACTACGGAAGCCACGAGTGGATCAAAAGGCACGTCCGGTCTTTGCCCAGGACTCCGTAGAGGCCTCGTTAGTGAGCCCTCCTTTAGAGCCCGCCATTGCGACCTCCGAGTACTGCCATCCTCTTCGGCCAGAGCTACACGAGGCTACCCGCTCGCAGGGTTTAGGGTTTAGGGTTTAGGGTTTAGGCGTGTGTGTGTGTGTGTGTGTGTGCGTGTGTGTTGAGGGTTCAGGGTCTAGCCTTCAGTGGTATGTATGTTTGCATGATATGTCTACAGAAACAGAGCAATGCACAATGTAAGACATAAATATGAATATGTATGTGTATATATGTATATATACAAAATACATACATATATATATATATATATGTACTTTGATAGACATATGTTCATATGTCATGTACATGCACACCCGAAACCCAAAGGTGGAACTCGAAGCTGAAATCTACATGTATACTGCGGAAGCCACGACACTTTGTAACTTCATTCCCTTACAGTCCCTACATAGGTACGGTACAGTGTACACCAAAACCGAAGTCTAGTTATCACACGCCCCCTATACTCTTTTTTACTATACACATATGTAGAATCCCCAAACCTGACAAAGTTATAGTTTATGACCCCTTCATTATCAAGGTGCCTATACTTTATCCATTAAAAATACCCTTATAGTAGCCCTTATAGACCCCTTTTTGCGGAACCCTATTCTCAGTAAGGGGTATACCCCTTAAGCAACATTTGTTTTTATAGTTTTCCGGTGCAGACATGCGTTCTGCTCGAAACCCGAATCCGATCCTCTCGGCTCTGAAACAAAGGGGGTTCATTGCTGCTGTGTTTACATAGTTTAGGGTTTTGAGTTGGTTTAGTGTTTAGGGGTTTAGGGTTTCGGGCTACATGTCGCCTCTGGACGCAACCCCTGCACCCTACATGTTTCCGTTAGCGGCAAAACTAGTGCGCCCCAAAGAACCTCATGTGTTTCACACGCAGCCTCGACCGACCCATACAACACCCGTGCAGAGACCTGCAAGTGGCACTCTCTAGAACCGTTAGAGAACTCCCTACCCGGCGTGTTTTGGGCCTAAAGACGCGCCAGAAGAGCTTTAGCTCTGAGAACCCAGAAGCCCCTCATGGTACTCAATGTAGACCAGGTATCGGTTTGGGCCTGATTGTTACATAATAGAGCCCTACGTAGTTATACATGAACACGACTGTCGAACTCGACATCTAGTTGGAAGCCTGAATGCTCGCGAATATCATTGCTTAGGGTTCCTCTCACTATGCTTATGGTATCTAAACCCTGTTCCAATCAGAAAGGCGTAACTCTGACCCGTTCCAGGACACCCTTTAAAGGAGCCCGCCCTTACATCAAAGTACCCTAAAGTCACCTAAACGGAAACATAAGTTTGCCGTTGGCTCATGGACCTCTGAGAACTGGTCATGGCCGCC